GTAAAAGCTTTATAGTCAACTCAATAAGAAAATGTATAATATCTAATATATTTTTAGGGATTGCCAGATAACCTTATAAGCTATTTACTCCAACTGTCTTTGCTTCTTGCAAAGTTCATTTTCATTACCATAAATACATTAGGAACAGACTGACCTAACCTGAAACTAGGTAACAGGTGCTTTAAAAAGTCCAATCTAGCCCTGGCCGGCTTGGCTCAGTGGTTAGGCAGTGGTTCTCAACTTTCTGGCCCTTTAAATACAGTTCCTCATGTTGTGACCCAACCATAAAAGTATTTTCGTTGCTACTTCATAACTGTAATGTTGCTACTGTTATGAATCGTAATGTAAATATCTGATATGCAGGATGGTCTTAGGCAATCCCTGTGAAAGGGTCGTTCGACCGCCAGAGGGGTCGCGACCCACAGGTTGAGAACCACTGAGTTAGAGCATCATCTCTCATACCAAAGGAGTACGGGTTCGATTCCTGGTCCAGGGCACAAACCTGGGTTGCCAGTTTGGGGCTTGTATGGAAGGCAACCAACTGATACCTCTCTCTCTCTCTCTCTCTCTCTCTCTCTCTCTCTCTCTCAAAAAAAATCAATGGGGGGAAAAAGCCTAATCTGCTTATTGATAAAACACACACACAGAAAATAAATGAATGATCGCTACTGATTCCCGTGATAGCTCAACAGACCCAGTAACTCCTCTAGATTAGTACAGAAAGAAGCCAATTAGTTTTATTTCATATGTAAATAGCATCATAAAGAGGTACAAAATATAATTCATTAGATTGCTTTATCCTCAAGCACAAGGCACACATTTTGAAAGTCACTTCAAATACAATTATTGCTTATGGAGCTCTCTCTCTCTTTCTCTTAGGCAGGAATTTTAAAAATAAATTCAAATTCATCCAGCTGTGTATATTCAAGAAATACCAAAAAGTCACAAGGCATAGTAAGATTCAGCTGTTCTCATCTCTCCAGTATTATCAATAGCACATAATGAGTTAGTTCATACATCATCACAGCTGTGCAGGCCAGAGCTAACTTGGCTAATTTAACTATTCCAGTAGAGTTCAGTCAGGAGTTGGCTCTATTTTAAATAATCCATTCTGCAAGTCACATAGAAAAGAACATCCTATCCTCTTTATTATCATTAGCATGCAATTCTCCTGTCTCCTTTCACAGAGTTCCTGTGAAGTCATCTTTATTATCCTCTGCACAGATTAAACACACACAAACACACACTTCTAAAAGCAATTAGCAATCACTCAAAACTAAGACTATGACAAGACTCTAGGCATAAGTCATATCAAGTAAAATTCCCTCTTTTATCAATATGCCTTAATTCCATAAGAGGAGAAAAGAACATTGTCCTCTGAGAAAAATTAACCCTGGAGTTGGGCTTTGCAACTTTCTACTTCACCCTCCCACTCTCCTTCAAAACTTTCAGAATTAGAAATAATCACAGGCTATATTTTCATCTACAGATTAACCCCAAATTAAGGTTTGCAGAATGCCTCTTCTTTATAGTTAATAATAACTATAAGACTTCTGGCACACTTTAAAATGGATGTAATGTAAAAACCAATGGCGATCTTAGTTGCTAATGGGAGATTTGCACATCCTCCACAATTTCAATTATCCTCAAAGGTATTCTACAGTTAGTGAGGCTCTCTTAAAACTACTTAGACTTGCCATTTAGTATCATTTTCTAATAAGGATGAGTGCCTAAACTGTCAGAGACTATGTTTTCTTAATTGAAAACATAACATTCAATGTTGTTTTCTTAACTTCATATTTGGAATTTGGAAATTCTCCAAAGCCCATCCTGTGTGTAAAAGAAGCCTCGGTGTGTAAATACAGGGAGCTCACACATACAACTAGTTTCCAGTTGATGTTGGCAATGAACATCTGCAGATGTACAAAAGCAGTGTGGCAGAAAAGTAGGATTATATCATAATTTGGGGTGAAGGCAAAATTGGAAAATAATTAAAAATAATTTCATTATAATGAACCAAATAAGCATTTATTATTGAAATTCTCTTTATTAAGTGTATTTTTAGTATCTAGGCATCTTGATTAAAGAGGCAGAATGGACTTGTGAATTTATCTAATTCAACTTCCTTTCCAATTTCATTCTTGAGAATAAAATGAACCCTGTAAATCTAATTTGGAAGAATTTTATCTGCACAGCAGACGCAGAACTATTAACTTTCTCCAAGTTCCACACAATGAAGTATTATAGATACAGTATGTAATAATGATTTATCAAGTCATATAAAATACTGAACACAAGTGAGATAATAACTGTCAATCATTTCTCCTGAACCCAAAGACTGCTGGGGTCTGACTTGGACATATACACAGCTGAACACACACTTCCTGGTTATGTGCAATCTGCACAGATAGACCAGCTTTACAGGCCTGACCACAGAGATTAATAGCTTTAGCCAAATAATGTGGTAACCATGTGAACCTGGGCTGCTCCAGCTTGTTTGTGAATCTCTCAGCAAGGCTCAACATGCCGTTATCTGCATCTTGTTGCCAGGAAACACAACATCGCTTTGGAATACAAGGAAAACCAGGTTGCAATGACCACAGGTCAACTTCCCAAAAGTCTAATTTTTGACACTTAGTTATCTACAATCTTATAACATTTCTTACTGTAGTCCATGGTGAACCTTCTTCACATTACTAATAATTAACTTAATACTTTGCTATTTTTATCAGGGCAGGACAACTTACTACCATTACCAATGTATTAGCAACAATAATTACAATAATAATTCGCTCATACCTTTCCTCTCAAGTGTCAAATAAACATTACTTCAGTAAAACTGATTTGGAAATCAAGCACTCACTGCAACTACTTTATAACTAATTCAACAATATCCATGTCTATTCTTCAGCAAAGTAATTTTACCGAAGGACAAAATACCCAATATACTGCTGACCTAAGAGTTCCTGGATTCTCTCCATCAAAATACCCATCTTGCCTTGCTGATAATAACAGAACGTAATGTGTTGGACAATAATCCTGACCAATTCAAACAGAGAGAAACTTAATGTACCAGATGCTGAAGTACTCAGCAGACAGGAAATGTGCTTCGTAAGAGTGAAGTGGGAGGCTACTATTCTGCAGTTTCGCAATCTGGAGATGGTAAAGATAGAGTGGCTTTTGGAGTATATAAAATTAATTACCCTTTACATACCAATTAGAATTGCTAGCTCATGGGCAACAGAGATTTTAGACAAAGCCTTATTAAAAAGATTTTAAGAGAATGGAAAACATTGTTGTCTTCCAATGCTGGCTTTAAAATATGAAGTTAAAGTATTTAGCTTTATTACAGGATCTAAGAATTTCACTACCCAAGCAAAATAGAATCTTGGATGCATTCTATTATCAAGATAATACATTCATGATCAGGAAAACTACATTACTGATATAACCTTACTTTAATCCCAAGGAGTCTTCTATATAATAATGATGCCTTTAAACTTGGGCCTCATGTTGTTTCTCATCTTGTTCCATACATCCCTCCAGATGTCCCTTTGCATCTCAAAATTCTAGTCTCATAGTTGAGTTGCTAAAAAGACACAGATCTGAGCACTATATGCCTGAACTATTAAAAAGAAACCACTTATCTAATACTAAATGGGAACAAGAGAAGTTAAAAAAAAAATAAAAAGACCAGGTTTCTGCAATGCCAACAATGCTTTGGCACCATGTTAGAAATACAGAAGTTGAACATCAAGATTAACGGAATTAAACAACTTGGAAATGGTTTACTGCCACCATTTGCTTGTTTACTCTCTTGAATAGAGTAACCCAACTTATCTGTGAACAAAGATGACTCTCTCAAGGAAGTTTTTCCCCTGGACTTCTGGTCTAGGACACTCAGGGTCGTTTTCCTCTCTATGGATCATTCATTTCAGTACTACACATATCAGCAGGCTATTCATTATCTGTGGAGCAGTCAGGATGCCCTTATGGTCTCCCAAATCAGGTAGCATGTACAGAAGTGCTCTTTTCCCCTAAGTAATTTGAATATTTACTCTTGGTCATACACAAATAACTATTAACATCACACATTTTAACTCCTTCCATACTACAGGATAAACAACTTAGAAATATAAAGATTAATGTTATTATGCAGCCATTTTTGCACTAGTAACTCTACATGTGGCAACTATCATTTTCTTCTTCACTTTTAAATTCAATTAAAGAATTCAGATATGAAAATTTCAGTTTCCTATCAGTGAATATTGCTTAGATATCCATACTAAAAGAACCAAATTACTTATATGTTAACTGTTTTTATGTAAATGATAAATAAATGTATCCTCTACTCATTGTTAAAAGACTCATTTTTTAAAAAAGTATGCTGAATTGCAGAATTTATTTTACTATAAGATAAATAAAATAATAAACTTAATGGCAAAAAGTTTTAAGGAAACTAAAAAACAAATTAATATGCTTGAACAGGATTCATGTTTGGAAGAAACTTCTGAATCATTTACAAAAACAGTTTGTACCATTCAAAATCAAGAGGGCCACAAAAATCTCCAGACAATACTATTTTCCTTTAAAAAGTAGCAGCTACTCAATATGCAAAACTTGAAAATTATATATATTAGGTATGAGTCTAAGGTTATAAGACTCATCATGGATTTTCTTTCAAAATCAAGTTCTCCCATATGATTAAAATTATATTTGATTTACAACATTCAATGTACAGGTAACTTCTCAGTCAGGTACATATTGCACAGAGTAATACCTGAATTGTTCAAATCATAAAAACTTTATTGTCTGGTTAGGTAAATAGCCTTCATTCAACCACTATGAAAAATCAGTACAGCACACAGCCAGAAGAATAACAGTGGAAAAAAGAATAAAACTGTTAGGTTATTTAAAAGAAACTACCCTACTAAGCTTTTAACTTCTTTACCTTCTCTATAGTAATTAACAACAGCTTTAAAGAAGTTATAAATACGTACCCATACTTCATTCTCATCCTATCATTCTCTGGGTTACAGTAAAATCTTTCCAAGTGCTCCTGGGAATCATTGGATACACTCTGCCACTTTTGGGTAGTTGTCCTCTTGATCTGCCAATGATAGGGCAAGACCGTGTGGTGTTTCAAACAATCCCTGCCATAAATACACATGCCTTGCAAAAAGTCCATGCAAATTTCAATTTCGTTCTCTTGGTGAGTGTGGTACTGTAGCTGGTTCACCAACTCAAATACAAGATCAAGGGAGGCCTCCTCACTTTTATCCTGAAAGAGCTCGGTACTCAACTTATCACTGGTGTCCAAAATGTATTGAATTGTAAAACTGTTGTCTTGGAAAACCCCTGGAACATAATCCATGACTTTGTCTATGCAGTCAGGACTAACGGGAACATCACTTGAAACTGGGTGCAAAAGGGCAGTCTGGAAGTGCCCTGCTGTAGAATCAGCCACTGTCCCACTAATGGTTTCTGATGGAAAGTTGTGATCCTGGATTGGAATCACTTGTTCTGGAGCATCAGTAGAAGGGCGAGTTTCTGGTATTTGGTCCCCGACATTTGTCCCCTCAGGAATCAAGACAGACATATTGTTTTCTGTTGGTGGACAGGATGTGTTGATTTCCAGGGGTTTTTTCACCATAGGTTCATGTAAGCTGTTCTCATCTGCATCCTGGTTTCTGGATCTAAAAACCCCACCAAGTGAGCCAGATTCTAGCAAAGTGTTTAATATTGGCCTCAAAGACCTCAGGGTTCCAGTTCCCAATCTCTTCTGATCCTTTTTCTTAAAACAAGTCTTCAATGGAGTGATCTTCTCAGAGAGTCTCATTTGGCATGAAAAGTCATCAGGAGGAGAGGGAGGCTGCACTACACAGTCTGGCTCAGGTTCGGTGGTTTCCATTTCCATATGTGGATTAGCTCCAATTGCTCCTCAGAGTCTAAAATCCTACCAGGAAAGGAAAGAAGATGATCATTTACAAGCTGACAACTGGATACCATTCATTCATCAAAATGTTTAGTTTTTGTAAGTTACTGAAATCACTCCTCTTACATTGTATTTCATCTTTTTAGATTTTATTGAGAAATCAAGGCTCCAAAACAGCCAGGGCTATGCCCACAGAAGGTAAAAGTAAAAGAGAAAGAGTATTTTAGGCACTTGAAATTTATTTGTGGACTTAATATACAATTTGTACTTTTGCTGGGGTATGAATTTTTACTCTAAGACTAGGGTAGAATGGGAGGGGCAGAATGAGGGGTAAAAATAAGTGTGCCTAACTGATGACAGCAGGGAAACCACATCTTCACTGCTTTGTGGTTCTTTTCAGAGTTATTTATCGCCTTTCTCATGAGGTGACAAGACTGTTTCTTTGTAAAAAAAAAAAAAAAAAAAAAAGTTCATCAAATGAAGGATAAACTTCAAAGTTAAATAGTGAGTGAATTTGGGGTGTGAGGATATACTCAGAAAATAGGGTCTCTCAAAATGTTATATGGGAGAAAGCCAGGAGCCTGTTGAAGCATTTCTATTCAGTTAAATCCTTACTTAAGGTCACCTGTGACTTTAGGGAAAACAAGTATAATGAAACCAATTTTACCATAGGCTAATTGTTATAAACAAGAGTTAAGTTCATACAACAAAATGATATTTTTGATGACCTGCTGTATTCAGAAAGTTTCAATATAAACCCCAAAGACATTAAGGGTCTACTTTTGCAATCCCCAAAACATTACCACTGCTGGAGGAGGAATACCAGGGCTTGTTTAGCAACAGAAAGTAAATCAGCAACAACTACAGCACACACTGTTTTAGAAACCAAACACAACCTCATAAAGAGACCCCTTTGTCCTTGTCTTCAAAAAAGTTACACATGTATTTTTTAAAGGCAAATGAAGGAATATTGTAGAAAATAACATAAGAATATAAAACACAAGCCACATTTTCAGATTCCTTATGAACTACTGAAAGAGAATAAAAGTTCTTTCTTTAAGGAATCAGACCCTTTGGGGAAAAAATGGAACAAAGAATAAAGCCAAGGAAACTTTGTAAAATGACAAATGGTGAACAAAGTATAAAGCAAAGGAAACTTTGTAAAATGACAAATGGTATCACCTCCATAGTCTAGCACTCATTAATTAATTCTGAAAATATTTATTAAGCATTGTGTCAGGTGTAAAAGGATTGGTGATGAGCAATTAATATTCTTCTCTCTTATCCAATGGACTGAAAGAGATATTTGATGCAAGGCCCCATGACTTCATCAAGCATGCAACCCAGGTGCCCATTACAGTGCCTAACACAATGCAAACAGTGGGTACTCAGGATATGTTTTTGTCTAAATAACTGAAGAAAAAGAACCTGAAGTGCCTAGTTCTATTCGTCTTTATGGGTCAACAACAACCCAAAATAATAAAATTGAGTCCCCTGAAAAGTGAATATTAAAGGTCTAATTGGATTCTTGAATCTGTGCGGGTAAAAAGTGCATAATGATCAAACGCAGAAAAATGATTTAAAAGAAAAACAAAAACACAAAAAACCTCCCACAAGGTGTTAGCCTCCAAGATAAGTACAAAAGGAAACGGTAGAAAGAGTTCAGTGTGAGCTGCCATTGTTAGGGAAAAGCTTCACGAAGAAGGAGGGACTTGACAGAAGACATAAATCAACTGGAAAGCGGCCAAGCCAGGCGTTATTATTCATCATTCAGTGCTCTTGCCTCAAGGCACAATTGGCACAGACTGTGGTATTCCCTCTCCGCCACACCAAACCGGCCTGTGCCATCCTCCACACACGCACGCACACACACACGCACGCACACACGCACACCCTCCTATCACACCCACTCCGGGCACAGCAGACCTTAAGCCGATCTTGAGTCACACACTTCAACTTTTCCCATGATTGTCCTCTGTCACACTCGGAAATAAACCTGAGGCGGCAGAGACCTGGAGGAGTGGGGAAGTCAACAGAACCTAGTTCCTCAATTAAAGTTTGCATACCGACAAACAGAGATTGGCAGGGCACCTCCTAGGGTCCCCCTCCGCAGGCCCCCCACCTCTCCTCCCCTCACCTCTAGGTGCCCCGATTTCCCTGGCACGCTCGGCTCGGAGCCCGCTCCACGGGAATCGCCGGCCCCAAACTTGGGACTCGGAAGGAGGTCCAGCCTCCTCCCCAGCCCGGGATCCCCTCCATCCCAGAAGCCACTCACGGGGCCTTTCAGTCCACTCTTCACCCCCTCAACCGACCTTCCCCAGAGGATCGCTCCGCGGGTCTCGCAGGATCGCAGAACCGCCCCGCGAAGCGCCGGGGGAAAGTGGCCGCCGCTTCTCGGGAAGGGCGACGAGGACTCCCGCGCCTTCAAAGTTAATCGGAACACAGCCTGCTAACTTCTGGGCTGCAGGCGGAACGCGGGGCGGCCGGAAGGCTCCCCGGGCCACCGTGC